CCTCAACACGTCGTAATAACATCAACCTGATAAATATCCATGTTCAACTCTACCGAAAGTGCCGTTAGCAAATGTACAGTATCCGGTCTTACAACGGAAGAAAAAGTTGTGTGGTAATCAACTCCGTAACGCTGACTATATCCCTGCGCTACTAAAATCTACGTACTCCAAGAAAGATTTATTACACATAGACATATCTTCATTAGTCACGGAATTTTCTACCTTGGTCATTTTATAAACCTTTTTTGGTCATCCTCTTCCACTAGATCATAATAACTTTGGTCGATCATGAGCTCTCTTTGAAGTTTCTTGTCGCTCACATGTCTCACCATTGTAATCTTCATTTATAAAATGTCTTTCCTCAGAAGACCCTTGTTTTAAGAAGTCTTGACTTTTAGATTCTTTACAGTCAAAGCCGGTCTGATTAAGGATACTTGAAAAAATGTAACGAGTCCTCATTACTCACAGATCTACTTGTATGCTTCAAAACCTTTTCCAGCATATTTCTCTCTTCATTCAAGTTTACGTCTCTCGCTACCACATACTTCTTCTGTTCAGGAATCCATATAGTGTATCTCTCGGAAAAAACTTCTCCTTACCAGGCTCTTTATTGAGTATGTAAACTTTCAACACAAACCGCCTAGGATAATTAATATTGATAGATTTATCCAACCACTTTCCATATGGAATACCACCACCTAAACTTCTAGTAAGACATCTATTCGGTATACATATAATATGCTGTATCTATAGCATCTTTCCAAAACCCTATTGATAGCTCAGAATCTTACATCATGCATCTGGCCATTTCCACTAAAGTACGATTCATTTGCTCCGCTATCCCATTTTCTTGAGGTGTCCTTGGAACTGACAATCTTCTTATTATCCCTTCATGCTCTAAAACTCATCAAAATCTTTATTGCAATACTCACCGCCAATGTCCGATCGAAAATACTTAATATTCTTGTCAATAAAATTTTTAAACTTATTTTTATATCTTTTAAATGCAGTTAGACATTATTCTTCGAACTTAAAAAATAAACCTCACACCATCTCGTACAATCATCTATAAAAGTAATAAAATATTTTGCACCTCCTATTGGTTCGCATCTCATACTTCTCGAGCTTTATCCAAACTTCTCGAGCTGTCGTACACCCTCTTAGGTACGGTAACTCACTGCTGCTCATGGATAGTATTAAGTCTGCTTTAGCTTTTTCATCCTCAATCTCCCATTTTTCCAATTCCTCAGCATCTAAAGGTTTTGCTTTCCTACCGCTAACGTACTTCCAACTGTCATTCTTTATTAATTATTATTGAATCTTTAGAGGAATTGGAAAAATGGGAGATTGAGGATGAAAAAGCGAAAGCAGACTTAATACTATCCATGAGCAGCAGTAAGTTACCGTACCTAAGAGGGTGTACGACAGCTCGAGAAATTATTAATAATGCTTGAACTTGGATTTGCCAGCTATCGTAGTTATCTTTGCTTAACGGTTCAATGCGCACCGCCATACTTGAGCTCATTATCGCTCATTTAATTTTCACCGAAGTCAGGGACATGGGGCGGTGCATGGCACTTCAAGGTGACCTTGATGCAATATCTAACTGGTGCTCTCTCAATATGATGAATCTCAACGTGAAAAAGTGTCACATTATTTCTTTCACCAGAAAGAAAAATAGAGTGAATAACAATTATTACTTGCAGAACCAGTTATTAGGTAGAAAGGATGTCGTAAGTGATCTGGGAGTGCTTTTCGACGAAGAACTTAGTTTTCGTCCTCACTACTTACACATAACCAAGAGAGCTAATAGGCTTCTGGGATTTATAATCAGGACAACTAAAGATTTTAAGAGTCCTAGTAGTGTGTTGTTCCTTTATTCTAGTTTAATCAGAAGCGTACTGGAATATTGTTGTCCCATTTGGTCACCATATTATACTGTTCACGTGGAGGCATTGGAGAGAGTGCAAAGACGATGTTTAAAATATGTTTCTCGCAAATATAATTTTGGTCGCTCACTTAATAGCTATAGTGATAGGTTGACAAAATTTGGTATGATTCGGTTGGAAGCTCGCCGCAACAGATATGACCTCCTCTGTCTACATAAAATAGTGCATTCGCTTATTGATTCACCTGGGTTACTTTCTTCAGTCTACATTAATACCAGGCATAAATCGCGTTACCCTAACACATTTTCAATCCGAGTCTACAAAAATAATACCTCTTTTTATAACCCGATCGTAAGAATGTCTCGTACATATAACGAATTGAATCGTAATGATGGAACTGTCGATATTTTCAATAATAAATTCTCAAAATATAAAAAAATAATATCAGACAAATTTCTATAATTATAATATTAACACCAGTTAATATTTAAATTTACTGTATACTAAAAGTTACTTAAGGATCTGTTCATGTTGTAAGTTAATACTGTTCATGCTGTGTACACTGTTTTTAAATTATAGTCTAGTCCAATGCTTTAAATATGTTTGTAGGTTTCTCTTTTGATTATGATCTGTTTGTGTACCATTTATAAATAAATAAATAAATAATTCATAAATTACTAGATACTAATTAAAAAGCTCCACGTTACTTCTACCAGAAATATCAAATTACTCTTCCAATTTTCATCAACTTACATAAATATTTACTTATATTGTCTGGGTCCATAGCCAATGTAGGATGTCCGTGGTGATCCGTGTTATTAAATGAAGTATTAAGTAATTATAAAATAAATGTATTTGAATTATCTAAATTGGCCCTCTGTTTACTTTTTTTTTTACAATTTATTTTTGTTAAAGCATAGTTTTTTAGTACTAGTAAACCGAAAGTTGTCTAAAATGCTAAGAATATATAGAAATAATAAACAAGTATTCTACCCGTCTCTAGTAATAAACAATATAGAATTCATTCACTTGGATAACTTCTGCAATTTGCGCAGATGCTCAATATAACAAGCAGCTGGTTCATTTCATATTACGATTCCATATCAGCATGGAAGAGTAAAAAATATCATTTACAAAACTACATTAATAAGATATATTTTTTATTCATTCCAGAATTTTTGTTGAAACCAATATATTTAAGTTTAGTTTACAACTCTCTAGAAATTACCTATATTATAAAAAAATATAGGCAACTACTAGAGGAGTAGGAGAAGGATGTTCGACGGGTATGTATTTTTTATGTACGTATACGTTTATCAATTTCTCTGGGTGTTATAGATAATTTTCTTTTTAATCCAATGTTTATGAACTTGCTATATAATATGCTATATTAATTGTAATAACTAAGTTAATTGTCGTAATTAACTTACGACAATTAACTTAGTTAACTTACGACATTTTTATGATTTTTGTGAACATCAAATTATGATGTATCACTAAAAAGCGTAGCTCGGTGGCGTAGTGGATAAGCGCCGCGGCCCGCGATCGTAGTCGTTAAGCAACTTTCGCAAGGGTCGGTCACGGGATGGGTGACCAAAAAATTATTATCTCGAGCTACTCCGTGCTTCGGAAGGCACGCTAAGCCGTTGGTCCCGGCTGCATTTGCAGTCGTCAATACCCTCCAATCCGCATTGGGCCAGCGTGGAGGGTCATGGCACATCCTCCTTAACCATCCATAAGGAAGGCCTGAGCCCCTGCAGTGGGGACGTAAAAGGGCTGGTGGTGGTGGTGACTAAAAATAAAAAATAAATATTACAAAATAAAAATAGAAAAAGACTTCGACGATGTGAATAATACTGCTCATTTTAAAGGTTGATCATTCTAGCAAGTCGGGCGGTTACGTGTCCAAAGTCAGTTTTATTATTTTTAATTTTTTCTAGCATTAACATTAATTTATTGCTTACCTCTAATATAATAATAGTACTATATAATCACGTGCTGTTGTAAGGTAACACCCACCATGTAACTGAAAGTTGACTAAAGCGAACAAGAAAAAAACAACTTTTGTTTTTAATTTGTTAATGTCAATTGACCGACGGTATCCAACGATCTTATAAAGGTTGCGGGAAGCCGCTGGATACGGGTAATGCAGGACCGATCGTCGTGGCCGATCGCCCTCTGCTGAGCATATGCCTCCCCCACAGATCTGTGGCCAGTCGTTTATTTCGTAATACTCTCCGGTTTCAAAATTGATTTTCATGTTGTTTCATACAGTAAATATAAGGTGACAGTTTAATGTTACAGTTATTTAATTTCTACCTCAGCAAAAGACCAACGGAAACGAATATTATTATTTGATATCAATTACCTTGTAAAAATATTGAAATACGTTGCAATCACATTTAATGAATAGTATATAATTTGACACTGGTCAAAGTATTATATTATTGAGCGAAAATGTGTAATACCAATTGAAAAATAAGAAGGGCAAACCCATTAATTATTGCATAACGAGGTATAATATAAACAAACCGGCATCAAAAATAAATATTATAACATACTGCCAAAGGTTTATTACTATTTAATAATAAACAAATATAAAAATCTATATTTTATTTTAGGTGAGGATTTGAAAATTAAGTATTATACATTTGTTTTTTGTAGTTTTAAAAATATTTTTAGTATATATATTTTATTATATTTTGTATATACCTATACATATAATATCAATTTTATCTTTATTTATGTGTTTAAATTTGTAAAAAATAGTGTACTAATTTTATTTTACGTGACGAAGACGTAATTTAGACAGTAAAGTTCTTCCAATTATTTAGGGGATAATATCTTCGATCAAAGGATAATATCCACAGTATCAAACAAATCAGTGCTTTAAATTTGTATTAAACTCTGTTGTTCCTTTTGACAGAGCAAAAAGATACCGTTTATCATAGATATATAACTATAAAACAAAAATCATTTTTTCTCATTTTTTTTTATAGATAAAAGTAATTTTATTCTTTGCCATAGAGAAATTTCTTCTTTGCTAATTACAATATGTCATTATTGTCACATACAAATTTTTAGGTGGAACAATTTTCTTAATAAATAATCATGAGTCTCGAACAAAAAGCCTTAATGAACAGAACGGGCAAACCAATACCAAAGAACTTAAGTATACTACAAACTGAAAGGAAAAATAATAACAGTTTAGAAGAACATCCGAGCACCGAGGACAGGAAAACTGATTACACCAAAGAGAATCGTAAACAATACGAGAGAAATGAAATTTTCAAATCTGAAGTGAAAAGATTCATCGAGGTTTCTAAATATTTCTCTAGTCCTCTACGTAAATCGGCATCGTACATGTGTGAGAATCGACTCGTGTCATATCCTAATCCGTACAGAATCGAATACAAACGAGGCGGAATTACAACGCAACACATCAAATTTTGTAACCTGACTTTGGAACCGGTGTATATCAAGCTTTATAAACTTATACCTGACTTGGAACAATTTAAATATATAAACCTGTCTCTCTCGAGATGTAAACGGATACCACCGGGTCTCTCCTTCAATTTGGGCTTTGTGTACGATGATGTTAATGAGAAACCTTCTTTTAATGCGAAAATGGTGTTTGTTGCGTCTCGTAAGACTACTACGCCATGCTATCAAATATGCGAAATTGAATTGCATATTGAAGCACAAAAGGTTAGACTTGTCACTGTATAACCATTTAACAAATACCAAGAAGATTCATACGGAATATACATACACCTGCCTATTATCAATTTACAAAAAACTCTATGAAATCTGTTATGCCTCAATTTTCTTAAAAACTATAATACAGCAATTTTCAAAACTTTAGAATTTCTTTGTATTTATTTTATACTCAATGGGGACACGTTCATTGTAAAATACATTTAATGAAAATATTTTGCTACATAAATATCTAACAATTATTTATCTGGAGTAGGTACCTTATTGTCTGTACTATGTCTTATTTATTATAATTGGTTTAAGAGATTCAAGAGACCAGTGGCGTAACTACAGGGTGGCGAGTCGGCAAAATGCCACGGGCCCCGCTGGAAGAGGCCCTCGGTCAAAGGAGACTCCTTACGCAATTAGTAAAAAAAAATGAATATCCGATGAATTTGCCACGGGCTGATGAATTTGCCTCAAACGGTATAGTTACGCCACTGCAAGAGACATTGTGAAAGTAAGAATGCAAAGATTAGCTTTGATTTTATCCATTTCGATCTCTCTCATGGTGTAGGTGACATTTGATTTGTTTATTCACAGTTTAGAACTGAGATACTTTGAACCCGGTAACCATTATTGAATTTGGATTTCTAAAGAAAGTATTCTTATTATAATTATAAATTTGCATAATCAATGTGATTCATTAATATCTTTAAGTTAAAATAATCTGAACCATCTCAAGTCTGGTCTGGTACCAGGGACGCTATTTTGGGTTCTGTACACAAAAGGTAAAAATGGGACCCTATTACTACAACTCCGCCTGTTGCCCATCTATCACCAAGTTGTATGTGATCATTAATTGAATTTAATGGTGTATTTCTGTTGCTGTTATAACAAAAAAATACTAAAAACAGAATAAAATAAATATTTATGAAGACTCCAGAGTCACATACAACAAAGGTGGTCTGTTTACTCGTCTCTGGTACGGAACGCGTGGTGCGCGAGTCCGACTCGCTCTTGGTCAGTTTTTCTTATAGTATTTTTAAGATAAGAGTCTTCTTGGTCAGATCATGGTCCCTCTTCTTTGCACTTTAAGTGTGAAATCTAAAATAAATAGACTGCTAGTGAAAAAAAGGATGACTAACACTATTAGTGTATATTCCATTGCTAATTATTATCATTATTATAATCTAGAGTATAAATGTTGTTATATAATGTTTGCAAGGAAAACCGGTAGCTGCACGCTTCATAGAAGTGTAATATTGTTGATAATAGGAAAACTACCTTACTAAATAATAACACCACTATCAATAGAGCTACAATGATTTAGATACCCAAAGTGAATTTTAAATTCAGAAAACATAAAAATGTTCCAAAGTTGCTTGTCCTTAATAACTTAAGAATAAAATACGAGGGATATTCCGATGGTCAAAGTATGATTAACTCATCTTTGAAAACCCACTCAAAGTTCCAATTAACTTTCTTCTTCTTCTGTTGCCGCCCTATGCCGGAGATTCACGACCAGTGCAATTCTCACTCTCACAGTTACTGTTCGGAATAAGAATTCTGTGCTCAACTGATACCACTGAAGCAAGGTTTGAGGTCATGGGGTTACGGTTGCCTGGTCCTTTGTATTTTTAACAGACGTCAAAAAGAGGTTATCAATTTGACCTAGATATACGTAAATTTGTTAGATTTTGTTTTTTCATTACTTTCTTACTTAAGGAAGAACAAGTTTTGTACAAAACGTTTTAGTAATTTTGAAGATAAGCATAAAATTTTAACAGACTCAATAGAAAAGAAATACTTTAAAAGTAATGAAACCTAATAATTATAGACACAACTATTGATGTCAAGCAGTTAATCAGTATCAATATAAATGTTTCAAATATTTTTTTACATTGAACATTTTTGAAGTCAGTTTTTTCTGTTATATTTTTCCCCTTTTGATTATTTGGAAGTTTAATACTATAGATTTTCTCCCTAGGTTATCGAATTAAGTGTTTCATTAAATGTGTGCAATAATCAAATCAAACTATGTGCTCTGGCTAATGTGAACACGCTGATGTATTGAGGACTCTTTCTTTACCTGTCCGTCTCTAACCTTATCATCAACATAATCTTCACCAGCCTATTAATATCCCCACTAGCATAGGCCTTCCATATGAATGGAATCTAAATAGGGAGAATGGAGCATGACTCACCACGCGGGCCCACTACAGATTGGGTGTTAAGGACTGCAGAATCATATGCAGGAGCTCGTGATAATACTTTTTGGTCATCCATACTATGACCGGCCCCAGTAAAAGTAGCTTAAAAATAGTATTGCAGACAGAACGCACCATTGAGCTCAAAATAACTTAAACTTACATATTTTTAATATAGGAGACAACATAATCAAGTTGGAAATATATCGAAAAAAATATTTTCAGTATAGGTATAACCTCAGATTATTGTGTGAGAGTAATATCATGTCTAATAAGTACTAGCTTGGAGATATGTTCCTGATTTTACAATTCTGTAGAGAGGTTGCATTCCATATATATTCTGTCCTCGCTACTAGATTATCCTCATTCAAGTGTCATGTTTAAGCTAGTGCAGAATAATCCTGCTTGAAAAGATCTACCATAAATTCTCCATATTCCACATTCTCGTTTTTATTTTCATCTTAATCTAAAATGAATTAGATTCATCTGAGGCCCAAAGTCAATAAAAATGTTTTTTACTTGCCGTCAATAGAAATAAACTTAATAATAAAAGGCATTTCGAAACTCCAAGCTCTCTTTTATCAATAGTGATTTCATTACAAGATTATCTATCTCTATTTTCAGTGATGTGTTTATTTCTATTGGATAAGAGGGTCACCTTAAGAGGGTAATAATGGTAGCCATTTTACATGTACTAAATAAATAAATTTATTCTACCTACTTTTAAGATTTTTCTTTTTGACACAAAAATAATATCAAAAACATATTTCCTAAAGCTAGGTATACGTAATTCTATTTTTTAATACTCATGTTCTTCCTTTAATATTTTTATTAAGTAAATCGAATAAATCTAAAACATCCTTTTCCAAATACATCTATGTTTACATTAAAATATGCCTACGTGATTTCAATAAAGAAAAATAAATTATTATTCGTGATAACAACGTAAATGAATGCCGCCAAACCTGATTCTCTTAATTTACAATAAGGTACAACATTCGAATATATTAATACTGGTAAAAAAAAAATGGTGGTAAGAAAGTTCAAATATTGCCAAAATGGCGCAGCCGTTCTTGATTTGGTTAAATTTACAAACGTCATATTGTTAATTATATTAAATCGTATTGTTATATCTATAAATAATTAATAATAAAGCTAACAGGTTTGATGAATTTTTCAAGCACTTGTTACTTTTTCGCTACTACAGAACGTATTTTCATCAATGTTCAGGCAATCCACCCAAACAACCGAAATAAATATTTCTACAAATATGAGAACTTTCATATAAGATGAAAATTTGTTCTATATGATAAAAATAAAGTTAGTTTTAATCTTCATGATTTATTTTTAATAATTAGGTATGTTAATGATCTATTTTAAGTCACAATCACACGTTACGTAGAGTTAAATCTCCTAGTATCGGCCATCGCCTAATATCGTCCGTCTCAAGAGATAGCACCATAATTATAAAAATGGTTCTTAATATAGAATTAATAATTGTTTTTACGCACAAAGTAGCACGAGTTTTAAGGTCGTCGGAGAATTTGAGATTGGCAGTACCAATGCATTCTAATAAATTAAATTTTTGGTTGATTTTATTCGGTAATTATTTAAAATAATTGATCCGTAGTTCCTTTCTTTATTTTCATTAAGAATGTTGATTCATAATGGTCTTTATTATTATGATTTCCAAGACAGAGGCGTAAAAAGACCAATAAGAGAAAAAATAATCATTTCAATGTTAAATAAAAATATAACACTTGTATTTTTAATCGAACTTGTATTGTAGTTTTATTTATCGAACTTTTCCTTTAAACAGTATGCCGATATCAGGGTCACATACGCCGGTAATTAGGGTTATAGAGGTCGATATAAGGGCAATCGGTTTACTAGGAAAAAAACATCGATATTATCAAAACTAACAAAGGATTCGTGATTTTGCGCATGTAATAATGGTATTTCAATTTCTCGTGACTCAAAAAAAGGCATTACAAGAAGTCAAAGCTATTAATAAACTCGTAAATATAACAAGCAGTCAAAGATCAAAAAACTTGACTAGGCCGATAATTGGTGTACCTACTCTATCACAACCCACATGATATGAGAACTATCAATTGAAAGGTCTTTGGTGATTCTACATAAAATAACATTTGTCTCCATTAATTAGAGTAATAGATACAAAATATAAACGAAAAAAAGATACTGTCTTTTCAGGTTAAATCTACACACTTATTAAGTAAACCTTTTAGCGACCTCTATTAGCTTGATGACTTACTACTTGTGTGGCTGCACTGCCGTAGCAACATCGTGTCTACAAGCGTACATTTGACGTTTATGTAGTTAACTCCACAGTGCTTAAGTAGATGGCGTTAATACTGATTGAAAATGAGAACTGTAACACCAAATAGGAATTAGTTAAGTTAAAAGTCAATTTACTGCCTATTTTCGAGAAACTAACTACATACAAAAGACGGCCGTATCGCTACCCAGCGATTTCTTCCAAGCAACTTTGCATTTGATGGAAAAACTTAACATTAAATAGCAGATTGTGCATACAACTAGACTCAATTAATAAAAATATATATACCAAATAACAATATAAACCAATTCAAACGAAACAAAAGAAGAACAGTTGTAACAGCGAATTATAAATAATATACATACATAGGTATTGAACGATTAAAATGCTCAAGATGCGAGAGCTCGGAAAGTGAGAAAAGAAAGTAGAAAAGCAGGCTTATCTTCTGATAGGAAATGGGATTTCATTTGTGTTTTGAACTAATCTAAGGATTTCGTCCGTATTATAGATTCAGGTAGATAGTT